TGGGATCTATGCACACCACTGCTGCTCGTGAAGCTTGCACACACTCACATGTGTACCAGTGTATCAGCACATGTAACGTGACAATAAAATGATTTGATTTGTGTTCACGTGTGTTTCTGAGCTGCAGTCTCTGTGTTGCACTCACGGTAAGCCGATCTCAAACAAGTTGTTCTGGATGAGCTGTTTGCCCAGCATAGTGATGCACAGCTGAATGCACAGCTCCATGAGGCAACCTGCATGGGCACACTGTAGGAGAGACGGTGAACAAGTGTAGAGATAGACAACAGTGAAACATAAACAGACCATTTGAGAAAAGAAATGTAAAATTGAACTTATTATTGGTTACTAGGATTTTTCCCCTTAATCTTTACATGAGAATTAAACTAAAATAAACGTGACTGTGTGCTCTTATCATAAAGCATCATCTAATCTAGCTGTTAATTGTTATCTGAAGACAACTGACTCCCTCCCTCCCTCCCTCTCTTCTCTCGAGCATATTTAAAGTTTACCTCTTCCATCCTGTAAGACCCAACAACATACAGGTAGTTTCCAGGCCTCCCAACAAGCCTATAAAACAAACCACAGTCACAGTCTGACAAAGAAAGCATTGACTGTACAGAATCATCATGTTTCCTTCTTCCAGCAAAACATCTTCAGACAACAGTGAGTTGGATAAAGTTGTGTGTGCATAGTGCTCGATTTAGTTTGACTAAAATGAAACTAAATTATGTGTGAAACTGTTGTTTTACCTGCCCCTGAAAAAGGCCAAGTAGACAATGGGTGTGAAGGCATTGACGAACTTCAGGATAAAAGTCTTGAAGATGAGGCGTTCCTCAAAGCTCTTGTCCGTCTTTGGAACCTCTGAAAAAGCACAGTCGATGTGTTAGATTCTCCTAAGACGCCGTTCCTGTCCTCTGTCAGACATGAGTCAGAGATTGCTACGTCAAGCACCATTTATTCACTCTACAGGACTAATGCTGCACTGTCAATGAGACATCCTCGGCTTTCTATGGTTTCCACATTTGTGGGGGCTGTTGTAGCCCCGAGCAAGTTTAAAGATGTCTAAACAAACAATGAGAAGGTGGAATAACATCTGCACTAATGCAGCTGTTGTTCTAGACTGTTGAGCTGAAGATATTCTAGCACTCACGTTTGGCCACAAGCTCGAGGTAACGTCTGAAAGAAAGATATCATGGACACGAGACGCTACAACGTTTCGCCTCATTAAGGTGGCGCTCAGGCTTAGAGAACTTTTAAGGCAGCTCAGAGTAATTGTTGCATGTCCATAACAGCTAGATTTGGGCAAGTTTACCATGCACACCAAACTAAGAGAAGACCCATAATTCTCTTTATTATCTCTCATGTGGTCTGGAAGGGGCTTGGTATTTGCGCCCAGGATTAATGAAAACACTGCTGGAGAAAAGGGTACCATGAATGCCCGCCTGCCACCACGAACTACTTCAGATAATCAAATTAAAAAGGACGGATAAAAGAAAGACTTTGTGTCATGGTTCTTGGTCATTCTGACCCAGCATTTCCTGTTTCTTATATTTTGGTGTTTTTTCTGTATTAGGATTTATGTTCTGATTCTTTAGTTCTGCTGTTTTGATTATTATTATTCGAGATTTAGTTCAAGTCTGCGTCTTTGTTATTTGTTTCCTGTTTTACTTTGAAGGTCCATGTCTTATGTTTTACTTCCCCCTGTCTCGTTAGCCCTATTTTCTTCCAGCTGTGTCTCCTGTGTCCCATTCCCTGATTATCCCTCTGTGTAGATAAGCCCTGTGTTTCTCTTTGCTCTGTCACGTCGTTAATGCTGCTACCCTCTGTGTGCTTTGGCTGGTACTCCAGTTTAGTGGCTCAGTTCCTATGTGCAGAGTTTTGTTTCTGTGAGTTTTATTTACGAGGAGTTTTTCCAGCAACAAATGCTGCATTTTGAGTGAAGTCCTGTCTTTGAGAGTGCTGCGTTTGGGTCCTTTCCTGCACATTATGACACTTTGTGTTGTAAAGTCCTTTTGTGTGCTATACAAATTCTTCTACAGACAGTAGGAAGAAAATAATATTTGGTAAGAACATCAATCCAACAAAATGTGCCTCACCCAGTCTAGTGAGCCAGCGGGCAATGGCTCCATAGATTTCATCCAAGATGATGATGATGATGAGGTTGATGATGGCAGCAGTGGTTTTGACTGTGGCTCGGATATTGTACCGAACTACAGGGTGGCTGCTCATGTGCAACGCTGCCCTGATGCTAATCCGGTACAGGATGACTCCAAAGACTATCACAAACGTCACAGTTATCTAAGATACAAGAGAGGCAGAATTAATGAAGTGTGTTTTTCCTGTTACGTTCATCTTTGTGATGGCACACAAACACATGAGATGCTGGTTAAATGCGTCAGAAAAAGCTTGGTTTTCAGCTACTGAACCTGCTGCACACCGTGAGAAAAAACCCAACTTACCAGAGAATGATCTTCGCTCTGCGTTCTACGGGATCAAGTCCCTTTCCAAGGACCCTGACATCAAAAACTCTCTCTAGTGACAACTGAATGCACAGGCCTTTTTGATGGCCCTTTTCTAGTCTTACAGCCCTCTCAAGCTCCGCCTCCTGACATCTGACCCACATTAAACTCATGGACTGAACACACACAAAATAGACAAAAACAAACTAATGCACAACTGTACCCTCATGCACACAATAATAACATGGACTGAACCTCGACTCACAAACACCAGCACTTTATAGCCTCTGTAGAAATTATCCACATAACTGCACTACTGTAAATGCTGTATAGACAATCATTCTGTACATACGATAATTATAATTCTACAACTGTTTACAACTGTTTACAACTGTTTACAACTGTTTACAACTTGCATATTTCTGTATAGCTTTATATTTATATCCTGTTCATAGCCTGTACATATAGTTATAGCATATTCATAACATACCTTAATACCGTGTACACTGTAACATACCATAATAGACCCATTCTGTAATATATCTATATTA